ATTAACCACAGTCAGTAAAAAACAGGTCTTCAATATTGATCAGCTTAAAAACCAATATCAACATCCAACCATATAAGGATCTTTTTTTGTCCAATACAATATCGGTCGAAAAAAATTTCCAATCAAATGTGCAATACAATATGATGTTAGAAAGAGTGTGCTTTATTTATTATATAATCCACCTGGTGTATAATAGACATTATATAAATATTTACACTTAATATAATAATATAATATACTCACGTGTTATATAGGCTTAGTTACATAATAAGACGTTATTATACTAGAGTTTTACACCTTTATAACAAGTTCGTCAGATTATTTCTCACACCTGGATAGTACTTGTCTCACACCTATAGGTAAAAATACCTGGGCGTTACCTGTTAATTACACAGTAAAATACGGGAGAAACAAAGAGACGATATTCTTCACAACACACAGAATGTAATAATAATAAAAAACTTTCTTGTCTACATGAATAATAAACTGTACAGGAAACAATGGGGTTTAACGTCCACTCGACACAAACTAGGTCATTTCGGGACTAACAAAGTTTGATTTTATTTCAATAATTCGCTAGCACGTAGGGGTCTTTGGCATTGGGAGGAAGACGACCGGAGGAACTCGAGAAAACCAATGAGGTTGGAAAGGCGACCCTATTCCTTGTCACGTACAAGCGGAATATCAAAACCACACCACGTGACTCAATGACACTCATTAAACCTGGACTTCGTCTTTATTTAATAAGATCAGGAATAACGCGGTTACACTTAGATACCATTTTATTGTAAATGCCGATTTGTACACTTACAAAGCATTCTAGGTTTCATCCCGTTTCCAGGACAGTTATTTAATAAGATCAGGAATAACGCGGTTACACTTAGATACCATTTTATTGTAAATGCCGATTTGTACACTTACAAAGCATTCTAGGTTTCATCCCGTTTCCAGGACAGTTACTCTGCTTGTCAGACGTGTGTAATACTATAGGGGTTATTTTAGTTCTATGAAAGGTGCTCTGTTTAATATATTGAAGTGGTTAAACAAATGGGTGACAACGAGAAGTCGGCTAAGTAGGTATTCAACTTTCTTAGACTCACTCACAGGCAGTCGCTGCCATTATCAATTGCTGAAAGTAGGGTACTATCGTCCAGCCATCTCGTGCACCGATTAGTTTAATAAAATATGTTGACGTAAAACGGTCTCCATCCCATACGAAACACTTACCCAAATATATAAGAAAGGGCGAGGTTAAATTTTCTTTTAGGCATCATTCGGAGTTCAGGGGAACATCATACCCACAGCCTCCCTGGCTTGAGGCCAAGGATACCGACAGCATGTGGGATTCTTAAGAGACAATATGTAGTGTTTCGTCCGTTAGGTCTGAGTGGTAGGCTTGTTAAACCCCGACTGTAGACATCACAATAACTCCCAATTTACTATCATAGATGTTGAGGTTTCCTGTATTTGATATGTAAACATAGTTATAAACCAACAAAGTGACCATATGCACAACGTGAAGTCAAAGTTAGTTCCGAATTGACCATAGTGTCACCCTAGCATCACGGGCCATTTACACAACGTAGAAATAATTCATAATTCATCGATTTAACGACACCGTAGTGGCACACGTGCTGTTCTGCTCCGACTGGGCAAATGAAGAAATAGCAGACACCATGCAGGGGGTCTTTTACGTGCACGCCAACGGGGGCCTCAGTGTTTCGTCCCATCCAAACCAATCTGATTAAAATACAGATCTATATTTCGTTTCGTTTTTATACTTTCGATGGATAGAGAGAGAAAGATATGGGGTTTAAAGCCCACTCGACACAAACTAGGTCATTTCGGGACTAACATATTGTTCAATTTTATTTCAATAATTCGCTTGCGCGTAGGGGTCTTTAGCAGTGGGAGGAAACCGGAGGATCAGAAGAAACCCATGAGATTGAACAGGCGACCTTAGTCCTTGTCACGTATAACCGGGGAATCGAAACCACGCCAGGTGACTCAATAATAGACCTTATGATACAGCGCGCACGTGCTAGCTATTCTGCCAGGATCTACAGTATAGTTTATGACCAGGATCTAGAGTTGGTAATATTGACAGGGTGATATAATTCAGAAAAAATTCAGATTAACTATTTACAAGAGATAAGAGATATCACAACTGATATAGTTTACTACTTAACGCGATATTATGGAAGATTAGATAAATAGCTGACAGTTGCTGCTATAATAATTTAAAAATAGATAATGTGACAGGAATATGCTGAAAATTTCAGTTAAATTATTCGACTCTGAGCCGAGAAATACTCATTTTAATGACATCATTATAGCCTCGATTGTCATTGTTACCATTGTTACGATAATAAACAAAGTCTCGATTATCCATTTTTAAGGTTAATCATTATGGTCCTTGAACGGCAGATCGGATTCAAATCTATTGAAAATTGGACCCATCGGATGGCATCGAGAGTTGATTATGGTCTTGTCATGTTAATAAATGTCTAATTAAAATGCATAATATAAGAGCTAAATCTGCCTATTGCAGGTCTTTCTTTAGGCCTGAAATGTTTTATAGATTATTTAGTAGACATTAATTAACTTACCAAGACCATAATCAACTCTTGATGCCATCGTTAGACTAAGATTTTTACTGGATTTGAATACGTTTTGTGATAGATAATTTAACGTAAAAATGGATAATCGAGACTTTGTTTATTATCGCAGCAACGGTAGTAATGACGTTCGAGGCTATAGGCTAAAATTGAATGGACAATATCTCGGTTCAGAGTCAATTTTCAGCATATTATCTATATTGTAACTATTATAGCGAGAACTGTTAGCTCTTTATCTAATCTTAACTAATGCCATTTTAATAGTTTAGATAATATTTAAGGCCTAAAGAAAGACCTGCAATAGGCAGATTTAGTTCTTGCATAATACCTGTTTACTTAAATCATATTCCACAAATATATATATATAATACCCGAATGGTTAGCAAGTCTGTCATTGAGTCAACTGGGGGGGTTTCGATTCCCCGGTGGTACGTGGAAAGGAGTAGGGTCGCCTGTCCAATCTCGCGGGTTTCCCCTGATCCTCCGGTTTCCTCCCACTGCTAAAGACCCCCACGCTCAAGCGGATTATTGAAATAAAATGAACGGCGTGTTAGTCCCGAAATGACCTAGTTTGTGTCAAGTGGACGTTAACCCCCCCCCCCCTCTCCCTCTCTCTCTCTCATAAGGCGTTCTTTTTTACATATTTTTGGTCGGATTAACGGTAATTCATAGAACAGTACTAATTTTATTTAAAAACAACCTTTATCGGGTATGATTTTAGTTAAAGGGCGTATGACTCTGTTTTTTTTTGGAGAGAGAGTGAGAGAGAGAGAGAGAGAGAGAGAGAGAGAGATGGGGTTTAACGTCCACTCGACACAAACTAGGTCATTTCGGGACTAACATATGGTTTAATTTTATTTCTATAATTCGCTTGTGCGTAGGGGTCTTTTAGCAGTGGGGGGAAACCGGAGGACCCGGAGAAAGCCCACGAGGTTGGACAGGCGACCCTACTACTTGTCAAGTACAGCCGGGGATTCTAAACCACGCCAGTTGACTCAATGACAGGCCTTATATACAGCACGCACGTGCTAACCATTCGGCCCCCCCCCCCCTGTTTTTTGGAACCTTGACATATACAAGAATGGTTCTAAAAGCATTAATGTAATACATGTACATGTATGAATGTATGTAAAGTGATTTATATACAATTTTTAAAAAAAATGTTTTAATTTCTAATTAATTATCTTCCGTGAAATACGTGAACAGTTCAAATTGAATGGCAGTCGTTTACGCATTCTACACGTTTTCTAAATTAATATTTTGTCATTTGTGGATCAGCCTTCACTAATTACTTCCACACTGTGTTGAAGGATATGTTTTTATTTCTTCATTACAGAATGGCACCTGAAACCATGGGGTACACGACTCGTGTACTGATTATAAAATGTTAATTGTGTCTTAAATATTGGATATTAGGATGCTCTAGTTTCATAACAACATAACAACACCAATATTGCGCATATTTTTTCCAGGGGAGGCAGCTGTACCTCCTGCCCCCCCACCCCAATAGCTACGGGTCTGCCCCTTTTAGTCATTTTTAATAAATAAAGCCCCCCCCCCCCCAGCCTTGGGCGCTGGATTTATGTCTCATCTATTATATATTTTATTTACTCCCATGTTCTAATTATAAACTGTTTAAAAAACATTTATCACGCTGAAAGAATGAAATGAAATGTGGGTTTAACACCCTATACTGTTCTGTTCCGACTTGTCTATTGAAGACGGGCATACGTCATACAGTGTGCTGTGAGGGAAAGTTTGCCCGGGCAGCAGCGCTACTCTTTTTTCGAATTATCCTCACTGCATGGCGTATGCCCGTCTTCATTAGCCCAGTCGGAGCAGAAAAGTAGGACGTTAAACCTTCTCTATCTCTGCTCTGTTTATTCATTTTATTTTCTATGATGTCATAATTATAAAACTGTTTAAAAAACATGTAATAACTATCATAGTTTAAAACATGACACGCCCATTGGACAGTGCGTGTATATACGAGGTTATCGATAAAGCAAGCCTACATTGAGTACACGATAGCCTCATTAAGAGATCAAGGCTTTCCTCCTCTTTGCCAAAATAATCAGCCTCAATCTACGCCATGGAATCATATTAAATCGTCTTTCATCATAACTCTCTCACGAGCCATCTTATCATCATCGTCTGCTGCACTCCATTACGATCTCTCGTCTGCTATTATCTCCCGCCAAAACTTCAGCCCAGACGACACAGCCGCCGCGTGTTGTGTTAATGCACTGTTATATATATAGGTCCACGTGTTTTCGGTTGCCATTGCTCGCTTTTCACACGCGGCCTTCTGATGACTTCTGTTAAAATTAAAGACGTGTTGATCGAAACTACGAATGGGATCAGCTGTGCGGATTTTTGTAATGAGATTCTCTAGCGTATGAAAAGGGCTGGGTGATGGGGATATTAAATTCAGTGTTACTATTTATAGAGCTGATTCCATCACTGTTAGATCTTAGCGGTAGCCGCGGTCAGCTGGGGGATTTATTTGAAGGGAAAGGCTTCTTTTAATTGCACGGGTCCGACAAGCACGCCGTTAGCAGTGCCTACTTGAGAAGGAACGTGCTTGACCACGCGGCGATTGCCAGAAAAGTACATCTCGTGCATAAATCAATTAGAGATGAATATTGTCAGTCAAGACGTACAGCTGTGAATTGAGGAATTTGATTGGTTGAACTGTATATGTTTATATGTGGTATACGAAAGGTTCAGCTGTAGTATATTTACCGTGGTATAACGATGTGTATCGTATAATAAGGTGGAGAATACTACAGGAATATCCAACACTAAAAGTGTGCATTATATAAACGAGGGGACTTCACAATCCAAACTGTCACCACCACAAAGTGTTCAATCGCTTCCACCCTCGGTCAGATGTGAGAAAGGGGATATGGCGGGGGGTGAAACGGACCCTAATTATGGAGGATTGAGGGAGTGGGGAGAGGGGGAGGGGAATCAAAATAATGGATTACTTGTGGACGATACTAGTACGGGATTAGCCGATCAGAATAATAATTTTCACACCACGGATAAAGAAAGTTCGGATAATAATTTCACGGATCATGGAAATGATTTTAATGATAACAGCTATACCTCGAATTGTCGCAGTCTTCGTACACGCACACGCGCACGCAACAGGTAAGATTTATAATATTAATATTGTGGTGCATGCCCTTTGTCACGTTTATTTTAGATCCGGTATATTTCTTCCAGGAAAAGATAATACAAACGAACTCCTCTTATCAACTTGTTTTATGGTTTGTGCTTTCAGTCGAAACAGTAATAATTTCATTGTATATGTCCGGTTCCTTTAAGAACCGGTATTCCAATGAAAAGATAATAGAAATGAACCCCTATATCAAGGTGTTTATCACATTTTTGTGTTATAGGTTTTAATCTTAAATACACAACCCTAACCCTAATCCAAACCCTAATAGAAAGTAGGAAGTTCCATATATGTGGACACAGTACGGAAGCCTAACCGCTAGTTTTTCGGTGTAAAAGTGATGGAAATAAAAAAGGAAGTCGGATCAAACATATGATCGCCATTTGAACTTGCCAGTCATAGAATATAAACCGCCCGCGTATTTACAGTATAATTAATCAAGATATAAATAAATATAAAGCCATTTAAAGAAACATTTAATGACGTGTTAGCATTACGAAACTCGACACAAGAAATGAAATGCAACAGCGTTTATTGTATTTCTTTCTTAGTTTCCTGTATCAAACGCTCAACCGAAGAAAAGAATAAGCTATGCTATGTGTGCCGTGCCATTTATGAAATTTGGCCGGACACCGACACTACAGTTTACCCTCTGTTGAGATGTGCAATTAACTGTCAGTGGTTCATTATCACTGTTGTCAGTGGTATACTTCAGTATTTTTACATATAAAATGACTGGCAGCAAAGATGCCAGTTAATTTAACTGTAATTTTACCAACATTTGTAATTTTACACTTATTCTGTGACTTGACGAATTAAATTTACTACTGCATGTAAAATAACTTGAAATCAAGTAAAATTACAAGAGATTTTAACATACAGCTACAGTAAGAATACAGGTGTTGGTAGTTTGCTGTCTGTGGTGTAAATCTTTATATCTGTTAAAATGAATTAAAGTCTCACACATCATGATATACAGCTGTATATAATAATTTTATACTTTTATCATATTTTATTTAGACTGCAATAAATAAATAAAAAAACGAATGACGATAAATTGATAAAAGCCAACAAAATATAAATAATCATAAATAGATAAATAAACACTTCCAGATGCCTGACAAATATCAAAAATACCAGTACATGTAATATATAGATGAATACAGGTTATTTACTTACAGATCCAGGTAGCCCCCCCTCCCTCCACCTCTTGTACATGTTATATAGAGTTGAATAGAGTTTATTCACTTACAGATCCCGCAAGGGGCTTGGAGCCCCCCCCCCCCCTAATCAGTAACAGTATAAACAAATTCACATATTATTTGGTTTCTAGGAAATTCAAATTTGAGCTCTTTGTTGTGTGTCGTGGTGGGGGGGGGGAGGAGGTCGGGAGGTAATTTGTTTAAATATTCAGGTTGAGATATTTGCCACAAAACACCAATTTGAGTTTGAGAAGAAAGATGATTACTTATGTCAAAGAACCCTTGCTTGTTGCAGTTGTAGCCATTATTATTACTGTATGATCAACTTTTGTTTAAACTGTGTATGCTGTCCTTGGTGGATGCAATGATACAATAAAATCTTATCTTATCTTAAATTGAAGAGGGTGGTGGGGGGGATATGGTAAGAATATTGAAATATATTTGTTGCTTGATTAAACGTTAAATAATCATATTTTGTACGTTTTAATGTGGGTTTCATATTTTCTGAAAAATGTAAATGTTTTACAGAGATACATGCGGGCTGTATCATACGGTCTGTCATTGAGTCAACTGGCGTGGTTTTGATTGCCCAGTTGTACGTGACAAGGAGCAGAGTCCCATGTTCAACCACATGGGTTTTCTCCTGGCCCTCCGGTTTCCTCCCACTGCTAAAGACCCCAAGCGCGAGCCAATTATTGAAATAAAATTGAACCATGTGTTAGTTTATGTCGAGTGGACGTTAAACCCCCATCTCTCTCTCTCTCTCTCTCTCTCTCTCGGTCTCTTTTGTTAAGCCATAAATCCTTATCTTTCCTTATTTCAAGTTTCCTTTGATTCTTGTCACCCAATCAAGACAGAGTTGGCATGACCAAAGCCCAGCTTAACCGGAGCGGGGGTCTGGGCCTAACTAGAATCACAGGGCCCCTAACGCGACGAAAAGATTATTTCATATCCGTTTGAATGGCACACGGTCTGTAATACAAGAATAATTACATATTATCTGATCACATACGAAATCTATTTAGTTCCAAATGGCATACAATGCGCGGAAATGGCATATAACGGCGGGGAACTGTTATAACAAGTCAATTCACCGGATTGAGTGGAACTTCACAGAGAAGGTTGAGTCATAGCTCAGTCTCCGCCCTCGCTCCGTTAGATCATTACCGTGAAACTTTCATCTGGAATTTGAATTTTTTCTATTTTTGCCATGAACCATCCTCAGGCCCATGGCTAAGCTGGGCTTTGGACATGACATCATTTTATTAGGTGTGAATTTTATAAACCCAGTATACGCGCACGGTCTAGAGGGGGCAACTACCCTAGACATCTATTTCAAGGGATGTCCTATCACCACGATACTACCAGAATTCTTATCTCTACTTTCCCAGATAGAAATTTGTTAAACATGTTCAAGGTCATGTTTAATTTTATCTATTTTGTGTAACAATCAGAATACGGAGAATTTATTATCTCAAGGAAAAATGGTGTAATGTGTAGGAGGAAGATAAATCATGATCATACCTTTTTCCTTAAAACTGAACAGACAATTACTCCACCCACACAGACAGTTGCTCCACCCACACAGACAGTTGCTCCACCCATACAGACACTATTGCTACTTCTGCACTGTGGAGGCTACTTTTGCACTTTTTATTTGCCAAATTTTATATTATTGTATATCCTCATTCATTGTGTGTTCTGAGATATGTGCCCTCCTGCTCTTAGATATGTTCTCTTACCATCTCTAGTGCCCTCAGATATGTGCCTCCTGCCCTTATTTAAATTCCCCATGCCCTTTGATACATGCATCCTGTCCTGAGATATGTGCATCCTGTCCTTATTTATGTGCCCCATGCCCTTTGATACATGTGTCCTGCCCTCAGATATGTGTGTCCTGGCCCTATATATGTGCCTCCTGCCCTTAGATATTTTGTGCCTCGTGCCCTTAGATATGTGCCTCTTGTCGATATTTAAGTGTCCCCTACTATTTGATATGTGTTTCCTGCCCTTTGAGATGTGCCTCGTGCCCTTAGATATGTGCCTCTTGCCCTTAGATGTGAGCCTCTTGCCCTTTGATATGTGCCTCTTGCCCATTGATATGTGCCTGTAATTTCAGTGGTAAGGTATGTGACATTTTTATTTCAATAGTTCACTTAACCTGGATGGTCCTTTAGCAGTGAGAGGACCCAGAGAAAACCCATGAGGTTAGGCTGGCAATCAGTAGGCCATATAATTTATCTGAATTTTGTCAAGAATTAATTGTGAATGAATGTAAACCACTATCAATATTTTGACAGAGTAAAATGTCTTGAGTTAGAGAACTGGCAACTAGTAGGCCCAATAATTATCTTAATTTTGTCTACAGTTGATTCATTCGTGTACATGTATGTGTCCGAGGGAGCTATGGTGGCTATGGTGGCTAAAGTGGGTAAGACGCTGGTTCACTCCCAGTGTTAGCTGAGAAAGTTTATCAGGATACTCCAGTGTGGTTTCCCTTTGTCAGTGGTGCAGGATGGAGGGTCTGACAAGGACAGCTGTCTAGTCATTCAAATGGGACAAAAAAAAACCCTGAGATCCTGTGTAGACAAAAGATCCCCTGGCAGTTGGAATTCGATATAAGAGTAGGCCTTATAAAATTTCCGTCACAGCACACTGTATGTCCGTCTTCATTAGCCCTGTCGGAGCAGAACGTTAAACCCCATTTCATTTTTTCTGTGTCTGTAAACCATTGTTAATAGTTTGATACATGTCTTGTGTTGGAGTACTGGTGAACTTCAACCCTAACCCTAACCACTGTTAATAATTTGATACATGTCTTGTGTTGGAGTACTGGCGACCTTCAACCCTAACCATAACCATTGTTAATAGTTTGATACATGTCTTGTGTTGGAGTACTGGCAACCTTCAACCCTAACCCTAACCATTGTTAATAGTTTGATACATGTCTTGTGTTGGAGTACTGGCGACCTTCAACCCTAACCCTAACCATTGTTAATAGTTTGATACATGTCTTGTGTTGGAGTACTGGCAACCTTCAACCCCAACCCTAGCCATTGTTAATAGTTTGATACATGTCTTGTGTTGGAGTACTGGCGACCTTCAACCCTAACCCTAACCATTGTTAATAGTTTGATACATGTGTTGTGTTAGAGTACTGGCGACATTCAACCCTAACCCTAACCCTAACCCTAACCCTAACCATTGTTAATATTTTGGTACATGTCTTGTGTTAGAGTACTGGCAAACTTCAACCCTAACCCTAACCCTAACCACTGTTAATATACATGCCTTGCGTTAGCGTACTGGTGACCTTTAAGGATTATATTATGTCAGTCATTTTTATTGAATAACTACTGTGTAAGATATGACACCATTACGCTATTTTATTATATTCAATAAAATGGAATACAATATGTTGTAGAAACTACCTGTATTGATCACGCAAACATGTTTACAAATTTTCTATTCATCATACTTTTCCAAATTTTAAATTTTCAGACTAATATTCTTTTTAGAGATTCAACTTTCATGAATTGCAATTTGTAAGGATTTTAAAATCCCTCAAATTATGTTCCAAAACTTTGAAAATGACGGTGCCGGTGAAATGAACCCCTTTTTCGCCAGATATTTCGTTCACAGATTCAGCTTGAGAGGAAAAAAATGTGCTAGGGTGAGGCCGACCCCCCCCCCAACTCCCCCACCCCCCCAACTCCCTCCTTTCTAACACAAGTCATATCTAGATGATTCAGATGTGCAATATATGTTCT